GATTAAATGTTACACTATTAAGATCATTATAATGCTAATAAATAATAACCCAATGGACTGCCGAGCATGGAACGGTCATGAGACTGCATATATATGTACGCACCCTTCGTCGCTTCCACATGACCACATGCGAACGAGTGAGCAAACGAACTAACAAAAAAAAGAGAGAGAAGAAAGTGAGAGAGAGATTAGAGAGGAAGAGATTAAATGTGGAACATTAGCATGTGTATGCATGTACTATGTAGATATACATGTATGGATGATAAGGAGTATATGCCGCCATAAAATGTACTCTAAAGTTTCACTCCTTAAAAATAATTGACACCACGGATTAAATCTCTGATACCAACCTGTGACACCCCCAAATTTCCCACTCAAAATAATACTTTGAAATAGAAATGAACTTTTATTTATTATTTAAAACATTCAAATGTTTGCAGCGGAAATAGGTAAAATAAAGGAAAAGGGTATGTCACCGCCACATCCAATCCGTGAATGGTTGGATGTTAAGGCTATCTACCAAAACATGAGTTTAGATAAAAATCAAGATGTTCGAATCATAAGCAAATATTAAAGTTTATTCTAGTGAACTACGATAAGGTCTTTTAATTCGCGCTCTCAAACATTCCAGCATCAAAATCAACATGATCACCTCCTGTTAGAACGAGCAAAGAAAAATAAATATTTTCATAAAGAGTGGGCAGGTGGTATCAGAGCAACCCTGCGACAGTGTGCTGACCCGTTGGATATCGGGCGGACACTTAGCGAGGGAAGATTCTGGGATTTGATTGAGATTTGAGATTGGTTTATGGGCACAACGAGGACGTTGCGTTCCTAAGTGGGGGTGATTGTAACACTTGAGATTTAATATAAATGGATTAATAGTACTACTCATACAAACAAGGTGCATCTCCTTTTAAGGGAGCTCATTAGCCAAGAACTCCAAAGTTAAGCGTGCTTGCACGGGAGTAGTCTTGGGATGGGTGACCCCCTGGGAAGTTTCTCAGGGCACGCACGAGTGAGGACAAAGTGCGCGTAAAAGGTTAGTGGCGGTTTGTGAGGACAGTACTATTGGTCCGAAGTAACTACCTCGGGTCCCACGGGGCCGGGGTGTTACAGCCGTGGAGTGATAGTGACGACTACTTGCTCGAGGGGCCTGCCGACTCCCATGCCGATGAGCATGGTGGCGGTGATGATGCTGGTGGCGGCAGCGGAGAGGACGTCGGTCAGAGCAAAGAGCAAGCCGATGAGGCAGCGTAGTTTGTACTTGGCTTTTTTTTATTACTTTTGTAGTTCTAGCACCAAAGTGCATGTAATGGCCGAAGCGCCCACCTTTTGTATCTTTGCGTCCATTAATGACAAATCTTTTCCTTATCGTGATTCCCTTATCGTCTTTGTAGTTAAGTATGTTTGGACTTGTAAATTTCCCTAAGTATCAAGATTTTTCCCTGGAGGATGTCGGCGTCCATTCCTTGAGACGTAGCGGTCCTCTTTTCATTTGTTGTCACCGGGGACGATGCACTCTATCATTGGTGACGCGCATCGTCATCATTCAGCTTTCCCTTTCCCTTATCTGGTCGGGGCCGATCTGTTGTCCGGGAGACGGACCCGAAGCTTTCCTTTGGTGATCCTGGCTCGCGGCCACCCAACCGATCCGCCACCCTTCCCGTAGGTACCCGACGGCTCGCGATGTCACCCAGCCTGTTGAAGGCTGAGATTTTACCGCGAGGTTGGGCCGGTGTATCCCGGGTAGGCGAGGCAGTATGGGAATGGGTGTCCACGGCGAGGACGTCCTCGTTGTCGCCGAAGAAGGTGACGCCTTGTGGACGAGGAGGCGGCGGCGGCACCGTCGCGACCTCCCCCGTTACAGGAGTGTTGTTTTCCCCGGTCTTTGCGACAAGAGCGCTGACGACGTTGGGGTCCTGGAGGATGCTCGCAACAATGGCCGATAATGCGGCCGGGTTGATCTGGGGAGCGGCAGGGTGAGAGGCCTGCTGGCCCGAAGTGCGATCAGCATTGCGTCTGTCTTCAAGTCCGATGCGGGCATCCGGAACAGTCCTGTTGAGCTGGACGCGAAGGTCAGCCGTCGCGTGCTCGACCTCCTGAGCATTCTCATCCTGGATGATGAGATCATTGGGGACGTTGTCAGCAACGTTTCCCTGCCCTTCCTGGTTCAATGGGGCGTTCCTACCAGTGTTCTTTGACCTAGTTCTTGTCATAGCTAGTGGTAGTGTCTGGTAGCGACGAAGGGTACTCACTTGATCTGTTCTAGAGCTCTCAATGAAAGCACCAAATGATAGAGTATTAATTCTAGAGAGAAGTGAGAGCTAGAGAGAGAAAGTGAGTAATTATATTTCTCAACCCCCTATAACTAGCCCCAAGGGTTCTATTTATAGGTAAAAATGTGGATTTGGGCTCCTAGCCATGGGCTTAGGAGGCCCATTACAATAATCATGCCTTCTTTGGGCGAAATAGGGCCACCAATGGGCTGTGTACAATACTTAGTAAATAAAGTAGAGAGATGTATTCTGCCAGGACGAAGTCTGGCCGATGCGGTGCCTTCTGGCCGATGCGGTCCCCTGGCCGATGCGGTCCATGGGCCGACGCGGCCCCGGAAGTTCAGGCGTGTTTCCTGGGTCGGTTTGATTCCTGGCCGATGCGGACCCCACTGGGCCGAAGGGGCCACGTGGATGCTATTCTGGTCATCGTTGACTTGAGTATGTGGGCCATGGGGTCCAGGCCCATATACTCTATCACACTTCTTTTACCAAACACTACAAATTTTATTTTTATCGGTTTTCGTGTCAAAAGTGCTTTTACTTTTTCTATTACACAAAAAGCACTTATTTTACCAAACATTACCAACTTTTACTTTTCAAAATCACTTTTTTCTCAAACACTATCAACTTTTATTTAACCACTTCTCCCTATTTCATTAAAAAAACACTTTTTTTAAAAGCAGAAGCTGTTGCAAATAGACTCTAAATCATTAGACAGTCTTGCCAATACTATTAATGTCATTTAAAGTTACTTGATATTCCATGGCTATCAATGAGTTTTATTTTTGTTTCAGTACACAAATGTATCAATGATTGATTAACAGCACAGTCGAATCAAGTGACACATATCATAATCTGAGACAAATATTCATGCGTCCTAATTACTACTCTATTAATCTGGATCGCAACATCTAACAACTCTTTATAAGAATGCATATACAGTTATACACAGTTTAAACTTGAAGTAATGAATTGTTAATCACATTTTACACTTTCGGGGTGTACTCTTATGGGGTCAATGGCCAGAGTGGGTGATAATAATAACATCACTGTCGACAAAATTAGTTGTACTTTTGTGACTTCTTGTATTTATACCATCTATTTCATCTTTACCATTCACTCGATCAAACACATCACTCTTAATCTTTTATTTTATATATCAAAATTTTATGAAATTTAAATTATTTCTTGCAGGTTTTGTAGCACTTTTAATGTAGTTTCTGAATATGTAATTTTTTTTACTAATAATAATTTGAGTTCAAACAATGATTTATTTGCTTTATCGTCAGTCAAATATCATAAAGTGAAAAGTATCTTGTAATTCGAGAAGAAGTGAGTAGTAAATAAATATGTCGCGTGATCGCATCTAGATGCAGCAAATGAAAATGGCTTTCACATATGTATAACACATGCACTCCGTATATAGTTAAATTTAATGCACCAATTCAATCCTTTTGTCAGCACTTGTAACTTTACACATGATATATACGGAGTATTGAAGTATTGAACATTTGAACCGAATGGGAGCCAAATGGTGATGATCATTATGTCTTCGTAGTTTCGCATCAAAGCTGTAAAAATTCAACAGGTCATGTACGGATCCGGCGTCTCTGCCTTGGTTAAGCAGCCAAGGAGGGTGCCGGGCTGTTTTCATCCATCAGATCAAAAAATGAAGGGTTGAAGATGAAAGGCTCCATTTTTTGCACGAATCTCGAGGCCTGCTTTTGGATCTGTGCCGTCCATTTGAGCAAGGCACTCTGCCTTAAGGCAGAGGATCTCAATCCGTCATGTACATATCTACCTTTCCCAAAGATAGGATGACACCCTAATCTTGGAGCCCTTCATAACCGCCTAGTTAGCTAGTTCGAGATGTGTGATAAATTTCAATCACAAATTGATGGATAACGAGTAAGGTTTTAATCCATATAATGGATTATATTCAAACACGAGATTTATCCTTTGGTGGCACTCACTTCCCTCCCGCCAAACAACTGACCTAAATATATACCTTTCCCTTTAATATATCAAGGAAATGGATATTTATAGCATTTGACACATCGACCTAGTATTTTTCAAGTTGAGCTAACCATAAATATCACATGAGATGGTGAGAATAAAGCGAGTCTAAGATCCTGTTTGATAACACTGAAATTTGATGAATTACCTGAATCTGTTGAAATTGATAAAAGTCTGGATGAAACGGTTAAATTGGGTGAATTTACTGAGTTATTGAATGTTTAAAATATATTTTGTTAATAAATGACGAAAAAGTTATATGAACAACTGTCAAAATCACCATCTACATTTACATTAATTTCAGTCAATTTCACTAGAAAACTAACTTCAATCATACTTATTTTGACTATTACACAATACACAATCCAACATGGTGACAACTCCGGTACCCTTCTAAAAAATAGGGCATCATACCTACCATTCATCTGATTGGACCACATCACTTTATTATTTTTAATTTAGATTTAAATAATTCAATTGCTATATTTTCATTAGTCCATGTGGACAAATGTATGATACCTTATGGGTATCATAGAATCTACCATCCAACATTCTAAATACATAAAATGAAAAATTACTCATTAGGTAAAAAAGTTGATTGAAAGACTGATAAACTTCTAATGAGTAGAGTACAAATGAAAAAGTCATACTACACTCATATAGATGATGATGAGTTAGAAGTCCATAACAATTCATTGTTTTATACTCCGTACTATGTATAGATGAATGAAAATTTGAATATACTTTTAATGACTTAAAAGTTTGTAGTCTACATTCAACACACCGACCTAACATCTAAGATACATGAACTTTTAAAATTCTCCCCTAATTTCATGATATACAATGCACCGGCTTTAGTCTAGCTCGAGCTCCCCTCATTCAGTTCTGGAGTTCAGAGTTGATCTTCAGCACAACTTTCCCGATGTTCAAATCGATCTCACGAGTCACAATTAGATTGCATTTTAAGCCTCAAGTATATACACCAATCACGAGTCCAAATGCTATTTTCTAGTATAGGCTAGGTCTGCTCGTTTTGAACCCGAGTATGAAACAAATCTTTGACTTGTTTACTTGAATAAGTGAGTCACTCTTTTCCGCTAAAAACTCTACTTGTGCGCACAAACTCAAGGCTAAATGAGTAATTAAAATTGACTCATTCGTCACCTGCATTTTTGTTACACACTCACAGTTCCACTACGCTATCATATAATCAAAATCCTCATTCATAAACATACGCTAAAAAAGTAGAAACACATCCACACACAAATTAAAACTCCCATTAACAAACCAAAAATCAAAGACCTGCGGAGTTTGCGAGTTGCAAATCTTTTGATTTTATAATTAAAAACCTGAATGAAATGCATATGTTCTTTATATGGTGAACCAAACGTTGCTAGGCTCAAACTAGTCATTCATTTGGAATCTGGTTTTTAAATCAAAATCTGAGTTCAAAATTTGCAAAAAGCAACAATTTGCAACACGCAACACCGCACCAGGGCCAAAAGGGCACGAAATTCAACGTCAAATGAAGCTCAAATTTACAAGACATCACAAACTAAAAGCACTAGAACTATTTACATTTGGAATTTGCTTATCTATCTGGTCTTTCTTTGTTTTCTACTACCCACTTTCTTCTCTGGCGTAGTCCGGTTGGGGCGCCGTCTCAAACTGAAAGAACAGAGGTTCCTAGAGCGGTGGCGCTTGCTGATCTCGGCTGCCGGAGAAGCTGAAGCAGTGTCTCCGCCTGTGCACAGAATTAACCAAAAACAACACAATAATGGCACTTGAGTCATTGATGTACTTCAAGCATGATTCGTGCATACTAATCTGAATAAATTATTGTACTAAATACTAACAATGATTAACTTTAATTGCTTAAACCTTTTGTTTGGCGCGACTGGTACCGGATTGAGACAGAGCAACCAAGGGAGGAATCGCACCCTCGCGGGCCACCATGGTCCGGTATGGCACGCTGTCCTCACAAAGTTGAAGCAGGATCGACACCGCAATCTCTTTCTGTCTGTGTGACCCTACCTCTACGATCTCCACCACCACTGGGATCCCGCCTTCCTCCACCAGCGCCGCCCTCGCCTCAGCCACCGACGTGAGGACGTTCACAACGAATCCCGACTTATCAACCATGTTTGAGCTGAAATCCGCCATTAATTCAACCAAAGGCTTCATTATCCCAGCTTCCACTGCTCTGATTTTGTTTTCTTTTACCGAACATATCGAGTATAGAGCCGTCGATGCGTCCTTTTTGCCTCGTAAATTTCCGTTCTCTAAAAGGTCCACTAGCGGCGGAATGGCGCCGGACCTTCCGATAGCAATTTTGTTCTCCTCAACTTGCGAGAGCCGGAGAAGAGCGCATGCGGCGTTCTCTCGGGCGACGGATGAGCCGGTTTTAAGAGCTCGAACAAGTGGCTTAATTGCTCCTGAAGCGGCGATGAGCTGTTTGTTCTCGTCGCAGAGCGAGAGATTGAGGATTGTGGTTACACCGTATTCCAGAAGCTGAGGATCGGGGGAAGAAATTAGCGATATTAGGCGTTTGATTGCGCCGGCTCTGGCGATTTTGATTCTGTTCTCCGGCTTATTCTTAGCCAGAAGACGGAGTTCCATTGCGGCTTGCTTTTGCTCGTCGATTGAACTCGAATCCAGATCGGTGACGAGTTGATGGATTAATTCGTCGGAGTTATCAGCAGCGCAAGCAAGCAGTAGACGGCGGCTCTGCGAAGAAGCTGTCGGGAATTCACCAGATCTATCGCTGTCGCAGTCACTGAAAGCGGAGGAGTTTTCGTTCATACTGAGATCTCCGAAGCTTCGACCCATGTAGCTGTAATTCGATTGAACCTCCGTTTCCATTGCCGGAGAAGTAGCTCTACTTCTTCCACCGGAGGTTCAGGTTGTTTCAATTCGAATTTATCCGGCGAAATAAATCAGCCGGGAAGGAAATGGTAAAACAATATCAGCTTATAAGCTCTTATGGACGGGAGAGAGAGTCTCCTGCGCAGCCGGTTGGAAAGGAAGAGGAAGGTGAAGAAATAGTGTAAGAGGGAAAGAGGGATAGACAAAGCACCTGGATTAGATCATTTGGGGAGGAAGGACACGTGCGCGCCCATACCCGAACCCCAACCGGGTAGCACGTGGGAAGGTTTGCTATTCCTATTTTTTTGTCTAATTGTGAGAGTTTACGCTCCCATAATTATTCTTCAAAACTCCTAGAGAGCTAAATTTAGATGTGATCAAAGTTAATGTCATAGGTAATGACTTTGCAATCATTTATATCATCAATCCCTTCCAAGCTACTTCTCCAATCATACCAACTCGATGCCTTCATTATCACCCATTTTCAACCGCTGAGCTATTCCGCGAAGGTGAGAGAATCATGGAAAGCAATACTTCATTCATCTCTCCTAGGTGGGAATTGAATCCAAGACCTCTCACAAAGGAGAGATTTGGGACTAGATGGTCATTCAATGGACTACACCCACCTTGTTTACTATTCGTATGCTTGAACTCCCTCACTCTCGATATAGAGCGTTTTTGACATTTAACGGTTAACAAATAGTAGGTTATGTTAGCGACTTGTACAAATATATTGCATACAATTAATTATTATACTAGTCAATATTCTATTTTTGTTGTACATATTTATTTTCTTTTTTTTTGCTCTCCTATCTTTCCATGTAGCATTTAAAGCATGGAGACCCATGCAACAATACAAAGTAGAAGAGTAATTTCTCTCCTTTTCATCATTATTCATCCCTTAATTATGGCATCAGAGACAGTGATTTAGCTCGTACCTACGACCTTGGCGATTGACGACAATGGTGAACCCACAAACGACGACTGGGCAAAAGGATGAACGTCGGAGAATCAATGACGTTTCCTCGCCATAGTATTTGTATAACTTAGATATACAAGGGGTTGATATTTGTGGTATCACGCTTCGGGTAGAAGAAAACTACCTTGAATGGTCTATGGCTATGCAGAATGCTTTTCAAGCGAAAAATTATTTCAGATTTCTTGAAGGATCAATCAAGATTCTTTAAGATAGAGATGGGATTGAAGATTAGTATACCATAAACTTGGTGCTAGTGAGATGGATGACCACCTCAATTGATTCGATGCTTCAGCCAACTATGGCCTACATGGATTCAGCCCGAGATTTGTGGGAGGAATTGAAACTGTGGTTCAAATCCACCAATGGGATGCAGTTCCATTAAATGTAGCAAGCCTTACAAAAATGAAAACAAGCGGACGAAAGTGTGACTGCTTAATTTGGGCGTTTGAAGATCATATGGGATGATTATGATGGATATAAAAAGAAAATCTCAAAATGCACCTGTGTTGGGTGTTCTTGTAACATTGAAAATAGTTTTTGGAAAATGTAGAAAAGGAGAAGATGCATGAGTTTCTCCTTGTATTGGATGGTGCTATATATGGGAGTCTACGATCAAACATTCTGAGTAGGACAGAGCTTGCAACACTCAGTGTGGTCACAAAGAAGGTCACACAAGCACATGACGTGAGGGGTGAAACTGTTGTATTTGCTGCAAGATCGGGATGACAATGGACTCCATCACCTGCAAAAGACAAATGGAAGTTGTTTTGTTGCTATTGCAAGAAGGAGGGGCATGAACGAGACCTGTGCTTCAAGCTTACTGAACAGTAACTAATTTGGAGGGAAGGGCATATAACTGGATAAGGAAAAAGAGCGGATTGGGGGCTCTCGCAGGGAGAATTTTTGCAGGGGGTTGGTGCACAGGAAAATGCAGTGGACGGATATGCCTTGGAGGAAATTAAAGCATTGCCTGAATCCACATAGTTTCCTACCCTTCGGACATAACAGTGGAACTCTTTTTTGTTCATGAAAAAATTCCAAACAAATGATGGTGTTGAAAAATTAGCAGGTATGCTTCTTGACATAGGGGCTTCATATCATATGACGGCTGATAAAAATGTTATGTTTGACATTACTCTTGTGACGTCTATCCCCATAACTCTTCCTAATGGAAATATTACTTACTGCTAGCCATATTAGACGAGTGGTGATAAGACTAAGAGTAACTCTTGAAAGAGTACTTTTAGGGCCCAACATGACACGTCACTTGATTTCTATTGGTCGCCTTATTGATGATTTACCGTGTCACGTTATTTTTACTAACAAATTTTGTGTGATATAGGACCTCACTTTGAAGATGCTGATTGGAGTAGGTGAACATTGTGACGGGGTCTATTATTTGTGTGGAGCTTAATGTGTGCAAGCTTCGCATATGGTTGGTAGCACATGAGATTTATGACATCGAAGAATGGGCCATCCCTCATCCTGGGTGATACAATTGCTTTCTGTTAGTCAAAATAAAGGTTGTGTTTGTAGTTCAAACAGACACATGCAATATTTACTCCTAGTTTTAATTGTGCTCTGCATATTTTTTAACTTATTCATTGTGATGTATGGGGTTCATACCGGGAACCAAGTACTTGTGGTGCATAATATTTCTTGACTACTGTGGATGATTATTCACGTGTTGTTTGGGTTCATTTGATGAGTGCAAAATGGATGTTCTAGCTATTATGAAGCGTTTTCTTTCGATAGTCGGTACTCAATTGAATACATCTGTTAAAACTGCGAGGGCTGATAATCGAACATAATATTCTCCGCTAAGGGATTTTTTCCGAATTAAGGGATTTTATTTCAAACTTCGTGTAGTGTTGAGACTTCCCAACAAAATGGTCGCGTTGAACGAAAGCACTGCCATATTTTAAATGTAAATCGGGCCTTGCAGTTTTAAGCCAATCTTCCTATTCATTTTTGGGGGGAGTGCAGTTTGACTGTCTGTTATTTAATTTACTGGAAACCTGCTATGATTAATGGTAAAAAACTCATTGTGAATGTTTGTATGGTAAGGTGCCTTCTTATGAACACATAAAAAATTTTGATTGCCTATGCTATGTTCATTCTAAAAATAGTACTCCCTCCTTGTTTTTTTGTTTGCTACAATAGGTGTTGGCACATTTTTTAGGAGTGAAATAGTAGGAGTAATGAATAATATAGAAAAATAGGAGAGATGGTGAAAACGTATGAAAGCGAAGATAATAAGTAAAAAAAAATAAGGGTAGTTGAGTATTTTTATAGTAAAAACTTACCAAAAAAGAAAAGTATAGCAAATTTTTGAATACATCCAAAAAAGAAAGTGTAACAAACAAAAGAATACAGAGGGAGTAATAAGTTTGAAACACGTAGTCAAAAATGTGTTTTCTTGGATTATGTTTATACTCAAGTACTCAACGGGATTGTAAAGTGTTAAATTTGGAATCACACAAGCACTTTGTCTATAATCCTACAGGTTCAACAAATGTGAAAAGTGAACAATCTGTCATTCATTATAGGTCATTGATGTTAGTTTTCTTACACTTAAAAAGATTGTAGAAAAATGGTTGAAAGTACGAGTATCGTCTCCACAGGGACAAACAAAACGGAAATAAGAATTAACTAAATTCAGCGATTAAAAAGAAATAAATAAAATAAATGTGATGTGCGAGATTGGTTGGTTTGAAAATTAACTAATGCAAATGAGCGATTAAATAAAAAGGTTGGTTTTCTCTCTAATTAACGACGAAGGGAACATGAATTGATTTCGGGATAACCAGATTTCTGACAGATCAGACTTAATTACATGAATTTGATTTAATTGAGCCTAGCTAATCATTACTAAGTTCTTACCGCTCTCGCGGCGTATAGTACAATAATTTAGGGGACCAGACTGATCTTCTCATGTGAGAGGATCCTAAATTATTGTCAAGACGAGCGAGCTTAAGGCCCCTTAATCGCTATTAATCTCTTGGCGAACGATTAAGTGTGTGTGAATGTGTCTTAGAATAAATTACATCTCTCTTAATTTATTTTACAAGCAATTGTAATTCTAGCGGCCGTTCTAGGTTACAAGAGATATCGGTTAAATTATTCAAACATAAATTAAACGACATTCATGCAATCAATCCATCAAGAATCTAGCCATACATCGTGATTGGCCCATTCATCAATCCCAAATCCCTAACTAAAATACTCACAATTCATAATTGAAGAATCAATAGAACTAACGCCACTTTGATCTTGTTGTTATTATCTTCACCTCTGAGTACATGTTTTCTTCCATTAACCTAAAATTCCATCCTTAATTTCTGAAAATCCCATACTATGGGACCTAAAGTTGATAACCATTGTACACCCAATACAATATCACAACACCCCAGAGGTAATACCATATAATCAGCACTAAATATGGTTTCATGAATTGTCCACTGAAAGTTTCTACACATCTTTAAAACCATCATTTTGCTCCCATCAGCCACACATACTATCATTGGTTTAATACCCTCCATAGTACACCCCAATTTTTTTTGCAGTATCTTCATCAATAAAATTGTGGGTACTTCCACTATCTATGAGAATTTGTAAATGTTTCTTCTGTGCATACCCTGTAATTCTCATAGTTCGGAAAGTTGATACACTTGCCATAGCATTGACAGAAATGCAAGCTTCCAGGCTATCAGTTTCTTCTGTATTCATTTGATTATTGTCTTCTTCTGAATATTCATCTTCCCCCTCACCTTCTATATAAAATAACTGGGGCCTTTTATGCTTTTGAGCATAATGATCAGGGATCACCACAGTACATGCACAACCCTCTTGACTTCCTCTCTGTCATTTCTGTTGCTGTTGGTAATGAATGTTGTGTTTTATTAGAATGAATGTTTTAATCGTAATGGCCTAATGGATGTTATTATTGTGAGCACCACACTTGTGCACGTGTATTTGGTCTGATGATGATGATGATGATGATGATGATGATGATGATGATGATGATGATGATAATAATATGTTTTTTTAATGAAACTGGCTTAACTTATCATTTCCAAACAGACCAACCACAAAACAGGTTACAAAGTGACAACAAGTCTCCTGTCTACCGTCTGTCCAAAGACCAGACTATGAATTAATCACCTCTAGAGAAGCCATATAATTTGTTGATCCTGCTTT